CCGCAGCACGCCAGGGCTCCCTGTCCATCGCCAACTCCCAGAGTCCACCCAAACCCATGTCCATTGTGTGTCGGTGATGCCATCGAACCATCTCATCCTCTATCATCCCCTTCTCCTCCTGCCCCCAATCCCTCCCAGCATCAGGGTTTTTTCAAATGAGTCAGCTCTTCACATCAGGTGGCCAAAGTATTGGAGTTTCAGCTTCAACATCGGTCCCTCCAATGAACACCCTCCAATGATTTCCCTTAGGATGAGCAGGGTCCTTTAGGCATGGGCATCAGTGCCAACCAGTCCACATTACAGGCTTTGTGCATGTCTTGCTTTGAAGCAGAATGTGTGTTCACCCAGTTTTTCAGGACTGGTCTGCCCAGTGTGTGGGGCTTCCTTGGTGACTCAGTGGTAGAGAATACTGCCAACACAGGAGCCACAAGAGTCACTGGTTCGATCCTTGGGTTGGGAAGACCCGCTGGAAGAGGGCATGGCAACCCACTCCAGTATTTTTGCTTGAAAATTCCTGTGGACAGAGGAGCCTGGCAGGCTTCAGTCCATGGGGTCGCAGAGTCAGACATGAGTGAATCGACTTAGCACGCAAGCATGCACTGCCTGGGATGTGCCGAGAGGCTGCTGAGAACAGAGGTTGCTTCTGGTCAAGACTGTAGAGATCCAGGCAAAAGCACAGCCCACTCCTGGAGGCAGACAGAAAAGGGCTTTACCGGGGATGGGACTGAGGACCTCAGCCTCAAACACAGACCTCTGTAGAGACTGTTCCGCAGCACTGGGTTAGAGGGGCAGACACATATAAACAAACGTGTGCATACATGTCATAGCCTGCTTTGTGCTGTTCTGTTCTATGGGGTCTTTTCTCCACCCCAGAGGAAAGGTTAGATTTGGGGGCTTTTGCCCAAAAACTGAGCTGTCTCTTCCTTCCATCAGCAGGAGCTCACAGTGGGCCTGCTATGTTCTAGATGACAAATAGTGATAAATAAGACAGGAGCCCCTGTCTTGTGGGGTGCATGTCCGGGACCACAGACAAAAACCCCAGAGCTGTGAAGGAAGACAGTCAGGCTGCTGAGTGCAGGCGGGGCGCTGTCCCCACCAGGCGCATCAGGGAAAGGCCCCATAAGCAGCCCCTAAGAGAAGAGTGGACGTTTCCCAAGGAGGGAGGCTCCAGGCAGAGAGCCCTGCAGGTATGTTTCAGGTGCCATCTGCCGCATCCGAGAGCCTTAGGTGACTCCATGGTGCTGAAGCTTAGGGTTGGACGTGAGCTGGAGAGGCCTGGGGTGGGCTCTTACCAAGCCACAGAGGGGCCCTGGTTGAATGCAGAGACTTGTGGGGTCACGCAGGAGGAACTTGGTCCCTCTCTGTTCACCCTGAAAACAGCCGCTGGCTGGAGCCAGAGTCCAGGCAAGCCCCACTGTGACCCGAGCCAAGCAGATGAGTGCGAAGGGGTGTAAGAAGTCAGGGGTGCCAGCTTCACAGGCAGGGTTTCATCAAGTCTTCTCAAAGCAAAAATGAAGTGCTGATTCAGATATGAATGAGTGTGGGTTCTGACTGAGTCCATGAGAAGTTCATTTTCAAATGGTTCCCCACCCGAGATCTGCCCCTGGGCAGGGGACTGGCCTCAGTGATAGGCTTGGAGCCAGTTTTCACATCTGTACCCCAACACTGAATTAATTCTCAGAGACAGAATTTTGAGTGGATTTAAAAAAAAAAAAGCTTTATTGTTTTGCCAGGCCAAGAGGGCCACAGCAGGCTAATACCCTCAAAACTATGTGTCTCCAACCCCTGGGGGCTTGTGAGGAGTTTTATAGTCAAGGGGCTGGGTTGCTGACAAGGATGAGGGTACGTGCAGGGCCTGCATTTCTTCAATCCAGAGATCATCTGGCGATGAAGGATGAGCTGTGACCATCTCTGGAATGAAGAGGGCTTCATCAAGTGGTTAACATCTTCCATTTGGTGGGGATTTTTGTTCTGCTGAGAAGGCTCAAAGATATATTATGTGTATTCCTTGAAGGGGAACCAGGACCCTGCCCCAAGGCTGCACTATTGTTTCTTGACTGCTCTTCCCTTGTCTCTTCATTCCCTGATTAGCATGTTTGAACCTACCCTTTGGAACTCAGGGAAGGGGACACAGAAAGGCTTTTGTGCCCAAGAGCCCCACAGAGTCCTGCTTGGTTTCAGCCTCCTCCCAGGCATGGGAGTATGGATTCATTCACTTCTGCCTCTGGGATGTCTGATAAATGAGTGGATGGTTGGGAGGGTGGGTGGATGGATGGGAGGACAGGTGAATGGGTAGATACAAGTGTGGATGAATGGAAGAGGGGTGATTATTTTACAAGATTTAAGGATTCTTTTGCTAGGGAGAGACCATACAATGACACTCAGATAGATGAAAAGCAGCAGATTTTGTTACTTACAGATCCAAAGGAGAGAAGGCTTCCAGGCAGGGCCACACAGGGGTTGTACCAGGGACATGGAAACAGCAAGCAGGAACTGTGAGAGAGCTTATGTACAGCAAGCAGGATGGGTTAGGCAGCTTTCTCAGGCTCCCTGTGGATTGGTTAATCTGAATAATTTTGCAAATTCCGGGGTATAGGGTTGTCCATAGGTGTTTGGCACCTGGCCCCAGTGTGGCCTGAAGTGTGAGAGCCTGAGAAAACAAGTGATGGGAATGAGATCCTAGCTGTTCAAGAAGAACTGACCAGCTCCCAGCCAGGACTTCAAAACTGAGTCAAGATAGCATCCCCTTTCCCCTACCAATAAACTATATTACAGTGGTGGATGGAGATTTCTACAGATGGATGGATGCCTGCTGGGGCTCTCTCAGTCAACGGTATTTACAGAAGCATCGGCACTGGATTCAGGCCTTTGAGGATTTTCCAATCCATAGATGTAGAACCCTAGAATATGTGAGCTGGAAGGGACCTCACCAGGTCTCTGTCTTTCTGACATCCAGGGGTCTCAAGATGCTTTGGATCATCGAAGATCATTTCAATGATTTGATGAAAACTGTAGATCTTCTGTCCCAGAAAAAGCACTGTTCTGTATGCCATGTTAGAGGGTGGGTAGACCCTGGGCGGCTCTGTCCACAGAGCCCTGCCCCCACCTGGAAGGTTGGAAGCCTCAGATTAAGGAGTTCCAGCAGGACAGAACCAGTCACTGTGCCGAGGAGTCACTGAGACACCATGTTGGGGAAGGGACCGCAATCAAGTTTATGTGACCAGTTTACAGCCAAGCTAGGTCTAAATCCCAGATCTCCCCATAAACCTTTCCAGAACTTCATTTCCCCAATGATCTGATGATTGTAGTTGTTCAGTCGCTCAGTCGTGTCCAACTCCTTGTGACCCCAAGGACTGCAGCATGCCAGGCTCCCCTGTCCTCCACCAACTCCTGGAGTTTGCTCAACCTCATGTCCCTTGAGTCGATAATTCCATCCAACCATCTCATCCTCTGTCGGTCCCTTCTCCTCCTGCCTTCAGTCTTTTCCAGCATCAGGGTCTTTTCCAATGGGTTGCTCTTCACATCAGGTGGCTCTCTGATGATCAAGTCGGACTCCACAGCTGGTCTGAAGAGTTGGTAGAGAGAAGTTACAAGCGGAGGGGAGACAGAAAGTGAGATTTTGACCCTCTGTCTGTCTATCTCCAGCTCCACCAGGCCCATGTTATCTTCTCTGTCTTAAAAGAAAGGCTTTGAGACTTTTTTTCAAAAACATTTGAAGGCCCATGCACTTTCCAGCTTCTAAGCTTCGGGAGTGTTAAGTGCTGTGGATTGTCAGTAAGTCTCCAGGGCAAAGCCAAGAAAGTCAAACAATGCTAAAGTGAGAGGACACCATGGTCAGACACCCTCCCAAAATGGCTGAGTCTCAGGAGCACAAAAAACCTTAAGTGTCACCGGAAAACAGGACCAGGAAAGGTGTTCTATCTCTGAAGATGTTTCTGAGTGTCTACTGCCGTCATTCCTTTGGGAGCATGTGGGGTGTGTGTGTGTGTGTATATGTGTGTGTGTGTTAGCTGCTCAGTCGTATCCAACTCCTTGTGACCCCACGGACTGTAGCCACCAGTCTCCTCTGTGCATGGGATTCTCCAGGCAAGAGAACTAAGATGGGTAGCCATCCCCTTCTCTAGGGTCTTCCCGACTCAGGGATCGAACCCACATCTCCTGCATTCCATGCTGCTGCTGCTAAGTCGCTTCAGTCGTGTCTGACTCTGTGCGACCGCGTAGATGGCAGCCCACCAGGCTCCCCTGTTCCTGGGATTCTCCAGGCAAGAACACTAGAGAGGGTTGCCACTGCCTTCTCCACCTGCATGCCATACATGGCATTAAAAAAAAAAAAAAATCAGAACTCTCCTGCCTCCCTGGTCAAACTCTGCTTCTACCTTCTGTGCAAATGCCCACTGTTTATACCTAAACTCAGACACAAAACAACCACCTAGGGAAAACAAGTCATGATTTATTGCTATAAGCATGCTGTTTAGAAAAATGTGTTCCCTTGTGGAGTGCGTCAGCTACCTACCTCAACTCCAGAAAGAAGAAAGCTAGTATTTTAGGGGTCACCTGTTAGGTATCTGAATTTCACATACATAGTTTCTTTTAATTGAGAGAAAGAATGGGAAAGTGGTTAAGAACAGACTTTGGAGCCACACTGCCTGGGTTCCTAGGAGGATTAACTGAGTGAATGCATTTATGTCTTTACAAAGCGCCTGCCACAGTAAAAGCCATACACTTGTCAGGACTGTTCCTAATCCTCACCACACCCCTTCTGAGTGTTGTCACCATCCCCTCCACTTCAGAGTTCAGAGAGGTTAAGTCACTTGCCCGGGGCTTTTCGCCAGGGAAGTGGGGCTGAAAACCCCGGGCTGACTTGGAGCCCAGAACGTGTCTGCCAACCGGAGCCTCTCAAGGCCAGCCTGTCTACACAATAGAACTCTCCGCGGACTGACTTGGAGGTGTTCCATGTGGCTGGCCCAGCTCCCCCGGCTCAGAAGCCAGGAGGAGCCCTGGGCAGCTGCAGCCACCCTGCCTGGCCTCTGCAGGTCTAGGTTCTAGAAACAGTAGCCAGCCTGGCTAGGGAGGGTGCTGGGCAGAAGCTGGAGAGCTGAGCTAGCCTGGAGGTGGAGGGAGGAAGTGCCTAGAAGGGCGATGACATCACGACCCAGCCCTTGAAAGATGAGCTGTTCCCGCTGCCACTCCAGCTCTGCTCCGGAGGCTCCTCGGAGGACAGGGATCCTCAGGCAGCCTTGCTGGACCAGGGAGCCGCGGAGGTGCCCTCGATTATGCTCCGGACAAGGTGGGTGCTGGGCAGGGGCTGGACGGGCAGACCCAGCACAGAGGGAGGGCGGGCAGATGGGTGACACACCCAGGGGCTGATCCCTAGGCTGGGAGAGAAGTTTTGTTCAGCTCCTAGGGAGCTTGGAAAAGTTCTCTTCCTTCCCTACAAGTAACAGGAAGGGTTCCCAGCAAGAGAAATTTTCTTGGTCTGTTCTAGGTGTGTCTTCTTTCTGAACTGAGGGGACAGGCAGGCAGGTGTGTGTTTGTGTGAGCGATTTAGTGATCTGATTTTATAGGCTCCGGGTGGATTCCTGCACTAAAGCAAGGAGAAGCGAACGAGCTGCAGTGAGAAAGGTGTGGCGAATAGACTCCAGAATCTGGCTTTGCACTCATAGCCCTGCCACTTGTTGGCCCTGTGTGACCCTGGACAAGTTACTTAACCTCTCTGAGCTTCAGTTTCTCATCTGTAAAGTACCGTGCTCACCTACTTCCCGGGATGGCTGGAGTTATTCAGAGCACAGACGGAAGGGGTTGTAAACTTTAGCTGATTCACATTTGAAGTGGCTGCGATGATGATTCAGATAAGCTTCTCATCCCTCCTGTCTCGTTCTGGGTGGCTAGGATGGAGGGATAAAACAGTACCTTGGTCCAGAGCATCAGCTCTGCATCCAGACCTAGCTGGCACCAAGTTCTGCTCTCATCCCCTGGGTAACGTGTTTGCATCCATTTTTTTCTTGTTTCCTGACCCAGAAAGCTGGCCTGGCAGGGTGGTGGCAAAGAGAGAAATAGGCTGATGAAGTGAAGTGTTGCGTATGCCGTAGGTGCTCGATAAATCGTAACTGTTATCAGAACTGCCGAAGGCATGTAGTTTAACCAACCTGGGTCAGGGTGGGAGGTGGGCGTTGCTCTCTCCGGGGCAGGTTAGAATGTGCCTCCCTGAGTTAGGCTCCCTGCATCTCCTGCCGACCGCAGGAAGTGGGTGCTTCAGCCCAGGTGTGAGCCGTTGCGGGGGTGGGAGGCTCAGGACCAACCATGTCCCATATTCCTCCTCTCAGCAAGAGAAGGGCTTGGCTGGCTAGGGCTAGAGGGAGCAACCCGCAGGTTGCTGGAGTCCTTCTGTGTTCTGTGTCCTTCTGGGCCCCGGCAGTAGTGGGAGTGGTGGGGATATTCCACAACAGGAGACCCGAAAGCTAGCAGGGCGCGTTTATTGTTTTTCTCCTGCTCCGAACAGGAGCCAAACAGGGGTTGGAGTCAGGAGAAGGGGTTTTGAAAACATTGCAAATGCAGGCTCCGTGCTCACCCCACCGGCAGGATCACAGGGTCTCATCCCTGCTCTGCCCTGAACTCACAAAACCCCTGCAATCGTGGGCTCTGGGATCCTCATGGAGCAGATGAGGAAACTGAGCCTCCGAGTCAGGATGTAACCCAGCAGAGCCCTTCGCTTAGGGTCTGGGAAGTCCTCAACCTCTTGGTGACTCAAGTCTATCACTGATGAGCAGTCGGATGATTGACTGATGGTGAGATATAAGGACTTCGGATTAGACAGAAACGGGGAGATGCTGTCCCATGGCATCAAGCAGGGGAAACATCCGTGCCACGTGGTTTTGCTAACACAGTGATTCTGTCTTGATAAAAAGTTCAGAGGGGGTCCAAGGGTAAGACTAAGGGCTGTCCTTCTGACCTGTGCCACCTCAGGGTCAGAGAGGGTGCACCCAGGGCACGGGAGAGGGGCCTGCAGACCCAGCAGGGGATTCTGGTTTTCAAAATAAAAGCAGGGACCATGTCTGTCCCGTTCACAGCCGCCTCGCCCGCTCTTAAACCGTGCCTAGTATAAAGTGGACGCCAGTCAGTATTTGCTGAATGACTAAATAGTGGATGCATGGATGAACGGATGGATGGATAAATGAATAAGTGAATACTGATCACTTGGTAAGCACTGCAAATATACAGCATGTTACTAACTTAAAGAAGCCAATATGAAAAAGCTACATACTGCAGGATTCTTATTACATAACATTCTGGAAAAGGCAAAACAGTGAAAAGATCAGTGTTTGCCAGAGTTGGGGGCAGGGAGGGATGAACACACAGAGCACAGAGGATTTTTACGGCAGCGAAACTACTCTGCATGAAATTATGGTGGTTTGGGTCTTCCCTGGCAGTTCAGGGGTTAAAACTCCACACTGCCGTTGCGGAGTGCGTGGGTTCAGTACAAGGCTGAACCCACACAAGGCGTTAATACCTTGTATGCCGCAGAGCACGCAGTGCACTATGATGGTGGATACATGTCATGATGCTGCTGCTGCTGCTAAGTCGCTTCAGGCGTGTCCAACTCTGTGCGACCCCGTAGACAGCAGCCCACCAGGCTCCCCCGTCCCTGGGATTCTCCAGGCAAGAACACTGGAGTGGGTTGCCATTTCCTTCTCCAATGCATGAAAGTGAAAAGTGAACGTGAAATCATTCAGTCGTGTCCGAATCTTAGCGACCCTGTGGACCGCAGCCCACCAGGCTCCTCCGTCCATGGGATTTTCCAGGCAAGAGTACTGGCAAATGCAAGTGGCAGGTGCCATTGCCTTCTCCGACACATATTTATACATGTGTCCAAATCCATAGAATGTACAACGCCAAGACAGAAGTAAACCATAGACTGGGTGACACCATGTGTCAGTGTATGTTTGTTGATTGTAAGGACGCAGCACTCCGGGTGCAGGATGTTAATTTGTGCACATGTGCAGCAGGAGGTACAATATTTGGAAACTCTGTCCTTTCTGCTCAATTTTTCTGTGAACTTAAAACTGCTCTAAAAATAAAGTCTATTTAAATTTTTTTAAACACACACAGCAGGACTGTGTTTTGAAGATTCGGGAAGGCACTTAGGGTATCCCAGGGCCACGAGTCTAATGAGCAGAACTTCCTAAGACTTGAACCCAAGACTCAGTGCATCACCCACCCATGCCCACCCAGCCCAGGAGTCCCCGGAACTCCGAGTAACCTTCCTAGTGCACATGCTTCCAGGAACGGGAAGCTCACTACTTTTTAAGTCTGCCTGCTTCATCTTGGGAGGATTATAGTGTTAAAAAGTCCTTCCTCACTTAGACTGAAGCTAAATCCCGCTTCCACTGACCACTGGCCCACTTTCTATCTCTTGGATTTGGACTGTATAATTCTCATCCTATGGGTCCTCCCTGAGTGAAACATCTACAGCTCCTTAATCAAAACACACTTTCCAGAACAAACCCAAGGAATAAGGTGTTCCTTTGACTCTGGGATCTCTAGGGTTCTGGACGCTAGAAAAATGTGAACCCCCTCTAGGGAAAAATAAAATCATCACTGCACAAAGCAGGGTGGAACAAGCATGGGCTCTGGGTTCAAATTCTGACTGCTTCCTGCTGCAGAAGCTCTCTGAACCTCAGTTTTCTCATCTGTACAATGGGGATAGTCACTCTTCCTTCTGAGGACCAAGGGGGTTTAGCTCAGAGGGTGTTGATGCAGTGCAAGTGGGATTGAGGGACAGGCTCACTGCAGGTGCCCACCTAGCAGAGGGACCGCCTCTGGGGACAGGACCGCCGGGTGTTGTCTGCCCTGCAGTGGAGTCACGGCAGCCTGAGAGTTCCCAGGCGACTGACCACACTCCAGGGTGAGTGTGGCCTGACCGGGAAAGACCAGCCATGGACCACACTGCCCTAGCAAAGGGCTTTCTGGGGAAGCAAACTCGAGGGGAACTTAGGCCTTGTCCCTGCCCCAGGCCCCAAAGCCACCAACCCCCAAAGCCACCAACCCCAGACCCATCCTTTTAATCCCCATGGCTGAGATTCGGGGTCCCCAAACCCTCTAACTGGGGTTCCATCACTGTCCCTCCCATCTCATCTCAGGAACCGACAGACACACTGTCCCTGAGAACTCGGGGCCCCAGACAGCTCCCAGCCTAGCTCCCCTGCACTGGGATTTGGGGCTTTGGAAACACCATGCAGTGTTCTGCCTCCCCCACCCAACTGGAAGCCGCTCCTGGGAAAAGACTGAATGCAGCCCAGAGCATGGCACCCACTGGGAATACCTGCAGGCCAGGGGTGACACCCTGACTGCAGACGGACGCTTTCTGGGTCTTTCCAGAGCCTCTGCAATTGCATCTTCCAGCCAAATTTGATGAAATTAATCCCATCAAATAATTCAAGAAAAGGAAAGATGTGTTACAGGGGGAAAAGTAGTTGATCAGTTAAACCAGCTCATTTCTAAGGTATGGCCAATTGGTGGTAATGTGATTGTGAAGCTCTGTAACTCTTTGGGCAACTACATGTTTAAAACAGATATAAAAATTAGGAAATAATCTGGAACAAAAAATTCTTATGATTTCAGCTACATCTGAAAATGGGGAAAGAAAAGGAAGGGAGAAGGAAAAGTGTGCTAAAGAACTTTTAAACTGAAGTATTGTTGATTTTGGAGAAGGAAATGACAAGCCACTCCAGTATTCTTGCCGGGGAAATCCCATGGACAGAGGAGCCTGGCGGGGTACAGTCTGTGAGGTTGCAAAGAGTTGGACATGATTGAGTGACTAAATCACCGCTGCCACCACCATGGCTGATTTACACTAAGGATTTTATTTTAGCTGGAAGAAGAGTTACTTTTCTACTATTAATGCTAACAGGTGAATACAAGATTTAATATATTTGTTAAAAATTTAAAGATAACCATTATATAATTATATACTATATTTGTAATACATTATTATAAATTATGATAAGTTAATGATAATTATCTTGCTTTGTACTCAGCAGAGTCAATATATTCTAAGGAATATTGATTGAAATTGACCATGTTCTAGGTCCTAAAGAAAAGTTTAATATAGCTCTCTTACAGGCTGCATTACTTGACAATACTATGGAAATAAATATCAAATATAGAAACTAAGCACAACAAATCACTGTCAATTTAACAAAACACTCCTCCTCAGAACTCTTCTATCAGAGAGCATCAGAAGTGAAGTTATAGATCTTTGAGAAGTGATCAGTTATAAGAACATGGTTA